AGAGTGCGTGCTATGGAGGAAAAGGGATCGAAGAAGGAGGGTAAAGGAACACGAAGAAAAGAAACGTCCGACGACGGATACACGGCCGTTTTCACGACGGCCCGACGATCCGTTCGCTCGCTTCCTCTTCTCCGTAAACACCCTCGGGAATAGTAATTCGAAGTTGACCCTGCTGCGACTTGTCCTCTCCTCGCCCAGACCGGTAATCTTCTTGTTCCTTGAGCCGGTGTCAGCCGGTGAACCGCGCGAGAAGGTCACCGCTTGACACGCCTCGTCCATCTCTACGAAGCTATATCGAGAGATGGACGCCGCGTTCCAAACTGCGTCGATCGTTCCATGCTCCGTCGATAGAACCTCCGGCAAAAATCTCGTCTCTCGGGTTCAACGATCACTTTCGGTTTCTTCCGTGATGGCGACGCGACGTATCTTTTCCTTCCTCGTACCGTGCACGACCTACCTCGGTTTCTTCGTGCAAGTCCGACCACCTCGCGCTCGAAGAATTCCTCCACGTTGTCCGGCCATACGAGCAACTTGCGTAACGTGACACGTGTCGTACCAGGTGGCATAATTTACGTGTCGTACGCGCATAGTACCGTGACTGCTTCGCGACCAACGATACATCTACCTTCCCCTTTTTCTTCTTCTCGATAGTATCGTTTCGAAACCAGCGATGTTTCGCGATAATCGTCGTTTCCGATTTCATCGAGATTACCAGTGAGTTTTAGCGCCGGGAATCGAAACTTTTGTCTCACAGTTCAGCGGTTAATGATTCGCGACAACGTGAACGTTAACGCTTTGTACGACGATCGAACGATTCGCGACGCTCTAGCGTCGTTCCGAGAGAAAACAGCGCGCGAACGGACGCGAGACGGAAGAGACTCGGTTCTCGTATAGCGGCGTAAATGTTGCGGGAACGAGGCATCGTGGAACAGAGAGAGCGGGTCAATCTGCGAGCTTCACCACCCTGAAAGTTTATCGGAGGTGGCGAGAGGAACTTGCACCTTACTTTGCGAATTCGGTAGAGCCACGTTGCTCGATGTATCCGAAGTACTTCTGGAGAGTGCTCGAATTAGGGCGGGCGCGCTGCAAAGCCTATTACACACAATGAGAGACGACTTAGGAGATCGGCTCGAGTGGCTTCGACTCGAGGATGTTGTACTCGCCAGAATCCACGGATACCGTAGCCGTGTGTCCATTACGAAACATCTACCTTCCCCGCTGCACGAATTCTCCGTGGTTCGTTGGTTCTCGTGAGCGGGCGAAACACGAGAAGATGGAGCGAGCTTTTGGAACGTTAACGCGTAGGCGGTAATAGATTGGATAGGTAAGACGAGGATTATCAGGGAAAGGGAATTACGCGGCAGGAAACTGATTCGATCGATCGGAATAGTCGACGTAGCTTCGTGTAACGATAGGTTGGTGGAATCTTTCGCCGACGCTAGCTCGTTTCGAGGTAACTGCTATTGGAAGCCGCGGCGACGAATTTGCCAAAAGGAAGGAACAG